GGACTTTAATTAATTAGAGCATATGAGTGAAAACCTTCCAAGACTGGAGTGCACGAATGCTGTGCCCAGATGAATCTTGCCACTATGAAGTGGACTCCTTGATCACACAAGGTCGTAGGCTATTGCTTCTAAGTGGGACTTTGAAGCAAATGTGTCACCCCTCAACGAATGCAACTGCACTGGACTGAGAAGTCCCACATCTCAAATCTTATCAACAATCTGGACTTTTCATTTCTTCTGGGCTTCATAATGTATGCTTCTGGAGTCCCACACAACTAGACACACACACTGTTTCTTCTAGAAGAGATGTAGGAGACACAGCTGAGCAGTCCATGCTTCAGTACACGTAAGCTCAGTTCACTTACACAGAAACAGTATTATAAAGATTGCTCCCAGTTTGCCAGGTCCAAATGGCTGCTACTGGACAATGACCATTGTTTAGCCTGAATCCATTTCAGTAATTTTTTAAATGGCATCTTTAAACATATTAGACATGTAAGGAAAATATTAGTCATAAGGGTTAGAACAGAAGAAATACTTGATTTATTATAATTTAAAATAAAGAGAACGTTAGCTATTTTGTTCTGGGAGCAAGCCACGTCACTTTTTGGCTTATTTTTAAACACATCATGCCTACATCACAACATGCCTTCACCACAAGATAAAAGGACTCAAAGGCCAAAAGCCAACAGCAGAAATACAACCACTGTGGACCTTTGAAGATGCAAAATGTTGCAGTAACTTCTTGCAGTTGGATCATAGTCATAATACCAAACTGACAGGAAGCCACCTCTATTTTCACAAATCTACTCAAAAATACCACACAATTTTGACTTTACAAACAGTATCAGACACATACATACACACACAAAAACAAACACACAGTGAGAAACAAATACATGACAATGATTACAATTAAAGAGAAAAGTTAACTCTTGGAAAGACGAACATGTAGAGAACACATTGTTGAAAAACTATGCTGGAAAAGTAACCAAAAAAGTCCTCTTTCTCACCCCCACCCCCCTAAAAAAAAGTTCATTGATGGATTTGGTCATGCTGCATGCAACACAAAACATCAGCAAAATAGGGTGGGGTGCAACTGTGAAAATTGAGATAGTTCATATTAAGAACAAACACACTAGAGGAAAAGAAGCCATGAGCTCATCTCAATAAACAGTACTTATTCAAAGGTAATTTTCTGGTAATTCAGTGATGGTGATCTAAGTCTTTACTGAGTACTGTGCAGGAAATAAAGTACTCAAGTACTTTTGTTACCAAAATAAGTAAAAGGAAGGAAAAGTAGGTGGAAGGGCTTGGTCTCTGTTTTGTGGATAAAAGAGAATGGATTCTGCTCTACAAACTAGAAGTTCCACTTAAGGAGAAGCAGGACACTGGGAATATGGATATGATATGTAGACAAGATGACACTAGGCTCTGGTGGACACCAACAACAATATGCCAGGACAAGACAGAAACAGACATGTAAGGCTGGAGAGGCGAGTCCTCCTTTTCAACTTTAATATCATTAGTACCATCACTTAAAAACAGGACAGTGCCTTTCTGTTTTTTAGGTTTCCTGCAAAGAAGTTAGTGCGTGATAAAAAAAAAAAAAATATATATATATATATATATATATATCAACAAATCAAACAACAGTAATATGCTCCGTTGAATTGTTATGAACTAGTTGCTGAAGAGGGGTTTATATACAAATATACATATGCATATATCTATATATATGTATATATGCTATAGACAAGGGGTATGGGATTACATATATATATGTTTATAATATATATATTTGTTAAAGAGGTTGGTGTTATCTTCCTGAATTCTTGGCAAATGGTTAGTCCTGTGGTTAGGAGTGAAGGTAGAGGGTAGAGGTTGGAAGGAAAGTTAACGAAGAGTGCATACCGCTTTCGGCTTCTGCAAAACGACAAGAAAAGAATTGAAAATCAAACAATTTGATAATAAATTGACTGACACCAGAAGGAAAGGAGAAATAAAACCTTTGTTTCAAATTATTGGAAGGAGGTATATGAAAACAAGGGTTTTCAGCAAAGCATGAAAACAGTCATATGGGGTGAAACCAACAACAGAGGAAGCAGTTAAACACAGGTTGAAGGCAGGGGAGTTAAAAGGAGAAGCAGAGCTCTCTAAATTATAATTCTCAGTCCTTTAGGAAATGTGAGAGGAAGAGAAAGGGGCCATTTTTAACTGAAGAAAAAAAATTATAAGTACCATCTCCAGAAGGGTTACAACTTTGATTATATTTAGCATGGACATCAGATATGACATGTACTCATGTTTTCTCAGAGGCATAATCCACACGCCCTCAAACACTTTTTTCCACAAGAACCAACGTGCTTCCACAATGAGACCAAGCCACATTTGAGGGTTAAAGCTGGCAACTGACACAGAAAGCCAAACCAGAACCAAACAGGTTTCTTTAGTACTTTTCTGAAAAAAGTCCTCATGACCATCACCTAGCTCTCTAACTAAGAATTTGCTGAGAACACCTCAGATTTGTGAAACCCTTGGAGGGTCCTTCACAGCAAAGACACTGTGTTCCAGGAACACCCAGGTATTTTTAGGATGGTGGCAGTGGATTCCTATTGAATCAGCAACAGCCTCTCATTTCCTTGTTTGTGACAGGCAGGAGATAATGAGTTAAGAATCAGGGTTCAGTCTTCTGCCATAAAATTATTCCAGAATGGCTAAAAAATATTATTCAGCATCAACATCATCCACATCTGACATGTTAAGGATGCACAAATGTGATCAAGAGAGAGCACCAAGTTACACAAGAATTAACGGACTTGGCAACATGAAGAATATCTATTTGAAAAAAACTCAGGACACATACACAGGGGCAGGCACCTCCTGGCAAAAACAGAGGCAGACAGCAGCAATCTCTGAAGATTCCACCTTCCATCCTGAACAGCAAAATAAGCATGACTTCTTTTTGTAACCATGAAGTTTTTTTGCAAATAATATTCTTCACTTTGCCAACATAGAATAGAAAAATGTACATCTGGATACATATCCGTTAACTGTTGTAGCCAAGGTGCACATGGGACCACAAATCCACCATATTTGTCTTCTTTTGATGGATTTGAATTTTCAAAATAACTTAAAGTTAGATCGGATTGACCTGGACCCAATCTGATCTGGGGGTAACAGAAAACATTGGATTGGCTTGCTTACAATCCAGCGTTTTGTCAAAAAGAGACATAGACCATACATTTGGAAAATTGGGTGTATTGACCATTCATCTGGATGATGAAAAATCCTTAAGTGATGATACCCGGAAACAAATTATGTGACCTATACTCTGCTGAAGGCCTATGCTGGGGGGCATCTGTATAAAGGGGGTACCTACAAGGAAATATCATTTTTAATATTCCATTTTTGTGAAAATATACACAGTAGGTCATGCAATCAACTAGTTCTAGATGAACAATTCAGGGATATTGGCGACATTCTACACATCATGTCTCCATTCTTGTTCTTTCTTCCCTAACCATTTCATCTTTCATGATTCAGATCCACTCATCTACTCATCCACACTTCTGATGTTGTCAGTTTTATCTTATATGAAGTTTTTTAAAAGAATGCAGTGCTCACAGAAAGCATTCTTTACTAATTCAGCTAACCTGTTGCTTTATGTGCAATTATTTCATGGAATATTTTTGATGTAAGTTTAAATCCTTTCTCAGGATAACTGATTGGGGGAAGGGGTACCTCCAGACTCAATGGACCAAATAAGTCTGGATTCTACAAGAGATTTTAATATGTGTTCTTCACTTCTCCCTTTATAATCAGGACTTGCTCAAAATGTTTGCTAAGAGTAATCGGAAGCCATTCGATTCTTGAGGCCTCATGGTAGAAAGACAGTAGTTCATGGGAGGAACCAGCCTTGCAGGGCAGATCTTTCTCTGATTCCTGAGCTTCATTTAAAAGAAGGCTTATTTACTACAGCTAAGAACAAACTAGGGAGCACTGGTAGCTCAGTGGTAGAGAGTAGTTAATCCAGAGACTCTCGGTTTGAGTCCACCAGCTGCTCTACTGAAGACTGAGAGACAATCTCCTCCCACGTGATTCACTGCCTCTGAAAATCTCCAGGAGGGTCAGCTGTGGTTTGGTTCTGACTCAATGGCTCGAGGGTACATAACAACAAGAACAAACTATGGATGTCTTTTTAAAAGACAAAGCCCAGGAATCTTTCAGAGCTCTCTTTTCTCCAAAATAATTGGTCAAATGTAGGAAACAAAAGTATCTCTATTTTATCTGTGATATACACAGTTACTCCATCCACAAAACTCCTTGGTAATGTAATGTACCCTCCTTTATTCACGGACACGTGTATTGACTGGGCTGTTATCTATTTCAAGCAGACTCAGTCCTTTGCTAGTCTAATTTGCACATAATTAAGTGTAAAATAAATAAATAAAGAGAGCGCCTGCCTCTGAGCCTCGCTCTCCTGGCTCATTTGCACAGAGCTGCTATCCTGTCACCTGGAGTTGGGCTGCACTGAGGTACATATGGTCCACAATAGGCTTCTTGTAATTTGGCCATCAAGAGAGCTGGTGTCTCCCATCATGTTGTGCCCCAGGTCTGCTGTAAAAGTGGCCAGAGTCCATCTGCTTTTAGCTCACAGCAGTCAAAGGGGTTCAAGGACAGGGCCTGTGCCCAGTTTTGAGTTTAAAAAGTAAAAAAACCCAAACAAACAAAAAAACAAGTTGGCATGGCCAGGTAGAGATCCACAGGCTTTATCCTGCTCCCACCAAAAGAACAACATCTTTGAATGCCCAGCAGGGCTTGGGACGTGAGTCTGGCCTGGGAATGGAAGCTGTGCATTCAGGTAAAAATGCTCTGAAATGTGTCCTTGAGTTTGACAGGCAGAGAAAGCCTGCTTGAGAAAGAAGAGGCCTCAGAATTTCCACAGCAGTCTCGTTTATCACAAATGCCAGCCAGCAGCGTGGTGGCGGCCAACTTACCGGCTCTCTCGGTTGGCAGACTTGTACTCAATGGCTATCATGAGGAGCTTGAGTTTCACAAAACACAGCCTGCAACGAGATGGAGAAGCATCCCAGTTAGTGCTTCCGAGTGACCAGAGCCACATAACAAACCCGGTTACCGCCTTTCCATCTCTGAAAGCCATCATTGTCCACGGAGACCCTTATTCTGCAGCCACTGTGCCAAAGGGAGGGGAGTGGGAACGACACCTCGCCATCTTCCCCATTAAACCCGATTTCCCACAAGTGATAAGGCGCTGAATGTACAAAGTGCAAATTACACTCGGGTCTGGATGTCTAGACGCAGCCTCTAAGCAGGGATTTGTACCTGGGGATTTACGCAGGGCCAGGTTCATTAGTTACTCGGTCGGGTAGTAAAATCTTAACTACAGGGGGAGGGAGAGATTTGGAGCAGCTGGACCTGTTATTTGGAATCCATTTTGGCCTTTTGTACAAATGGCTCATATTGTTGTTCTGAGCAGACCCCTGTGCACTCAGAATGACGGTAATAATACTTTGCCTCCGTGTAAGTGCCCAGCACATGACGACGGCAGTGTCATTCCCGGCCCCATCTAAGCAGCTTCACCTCATCTGGCCTGGGCCGAGTGCAGCGCAGCCGGACAGTCCTGAGGCTGGCTCGTGTCTGTCTCTGAGCCTTCCACAGGAGGCTGCTGCCACCCTGAAGGCCCACTCCCTCCTCCCTGCCCATCCTCTCAGGTCTGTACCAGCTCTGTCTCCCATGCACATTTTCTCCAGAAGAGAACCCTCTTCTGGGATCTCATTCTCAGAACTCCTTCAAGGCCTTCTCTAGAACCATCTAGAAGCCCCTGGTCAGCTTCACCCTGACTTCGGCTGTACCCTTTGTGAATGCTCCTAAACTTTGTTCCTTCAATCAGAGCAACTTCTTTGAATGTTATGAATTTGCTTAGTATTTTCTTTAGTGCTATACACAGAACCACTGGAGTTCAATAAATAAACTTGGGGGTTTCAGTGTAAGGGACTAATAGGAGGTGTGGTACAATAGTTAAATTTGAAGAAAGGGGAAGAACTTGGAGGCCACAGGTCCAGACCTTTACTGGTTGCTTGCACATGTCTCCACAATATCCCTAAGAGGGAGGATATTATCCCAGGTATTCAGACTTATCTTGATGTTTTGATTGCTTAGATTATTAAACTTGGTCTTGGAAGGCCCATATAACTTGCTCAAGGTCTTTATCAAGTATGTGGCAGAGAAGACAGTATCTTAGACTCATTTATAGTGGGATAGAAAGGCAATGAGAAAATACATAAGGGATTAAGTAAGTACTTCCAGATGATGGCAAGTTCCATGTAGAAAAAAATAAGAGGCTAAAGAGTGATTGGAAAGGGTTACATCAACAGGGCTGGACTAGCAAGAACTGAGGCTGGAGAAGAGAGCACTGGAGCCCAAGGATATGAGCGGATGACAAGGAGGTCTGCAGAAAGGGCATGTGAGGCAGCAAAAACAATGCAGTACACAACAACATACAGTACAGTGTATAGCATAACTATATAGTATAGTCTATGTAATACAGTATTTTATGAAATTGTTACTCTTTAGTGCTGCATAGTATTCTGTTGTGCGAACGTACCACAGTATCTCAATCTGTTCACTTGGTGGGAATTTGGGCTGTTTCTATTTCCTTACTATTATGAATAATGCTGCTATAAACATGTTGTTGTTGTTGCTGATTGCTGTCAAGTTGAGCATGACTCATAGTGACCCTATGAACAAAAGGACTGAAGCCTTTCCATAACTATCGTCGTTTCTGCAAGTTCATAGAGTTTCCAGAGGCATGCGGTTTAGGAAGAGGATGCCACTCCTGCTTCCAAAAATGTCTAAGACTGGGAGATATGAACATAGGTGTCCCTATTTCCATTCCCATCTCAGTTCTAAATTATCTGGGGTATATTCCTAGGAATGCAATTGCTGGTTCATACAGGATGACTGTTTATAGGGGATGATTTTTTGAGGACACACCAAACTGCCTTCTGGATTGGTTGCACCATTTTACAGTTTGCCAGCAGTGCATGAGAGTTGCACTATCTTCATATCCTCTTCAACATTTATTGCTTGCTGGCCTGTTAAGCTTTGCTACTGTTACTAGGGTGAGATGATATCTCATTGTGGTTTGGATTTGCATCTCTCTGATTTTCAATCATTTTGAGTGTTTCTTCATGTGTCTGTTAGCCATCTGAACGTCTTCCTTTTTGAAGTCTTTTCATGTCTTTTGTCTATTTTGTTATCAGTGTTTCTTGTGGATACCTTGTGGAAATTTTGTAAACTTCCGTTATGAAGCCCTTGTCTGAGATGTTGTTGCCAAATGTTTTCTTCTCCTGGTTTTTAGGTTTCCTTTCCATTTTGATGCACACTCATTTATAGATTTTTGTCCTCAGGAAGGAATGAACAAGGAGTGATTGAAGACGAGCAATAAAGTCAAGGAGGCTGGAGCTTCATAAGCAAAGCTGAGAGTGACAATGATGAGATGAGAAAGGTTGTTGGAAAGTGAGAGTGTAAGGGTCTTGCTGACCCTGGAAGAGTCTGGATTTTATCCTAATCAGAATTTAATCTGCTTTAAAAAATCTGATATGCTGGAAATGAGGACATCTCCAGCAGGAGGCTACCTGCTTTTTCTTCCTGTGTGCCTTTGGTCCCATCCTCAATAGTCAGGATCTGAAGGACTCCTTCTATCCAGGCACCGTGGGGCTCCCTTGGTGATTTGCAGGTTTCCTAATTCCTGCCAGCCCACTCTAATGATCTGGGCATTGTGCCGATGATGCAGTTTACTGACACATAGGGCCATGTATTCAACTATCGCTGAGAAAATGCCCTTCTTCATTTATGTCTCAGAGAGTGCTGCTAACATGCACCTTTTATGAAGCTGTTACCTCTGGAGTTTAAATTATTTTTTAAAACAGAAAACTTATGCAATGTTTACTGAACAAATTATCCAAGTATGTAACCACTTTCTAACAATGAAATGCCAGATGATCAATGAAAAAGTTAGTTTTAAATTAATAGATGGGAAATAAAAGGCTTATTTACAAATATCTCTTGAACAACAGCCATTCCGTTTAGGATTCTGTTGGTTCACAGGATCAAAGATCTTAATTGCTTTATTGGATATGATCTTGCTGGTAAGAAAGGGAGCAATGGTTCACACAGTAATGAGAGTTCCTACAATACCATTTACAAACTAGACATTATGGGAGGGCTGCTCCTTGGAAGCAAGGATTCTGAGGCTTCGTCTGACATACTTTTGTCATCTTGTAAGGAGAGACCAGTCCTTGGAGAAGGACATCATGCTTGGGAGGGTGGAGGGTAGGCACAGGAGGGGAAGGCCCTCTATGAGGTGGATTGATTCAGTGACTGGGGTAATCGGGATGGGTGTGTCAGAGGCAGTGCAATTGGCACAGGACAGAGCAGAGTTTAGGGCTGTTGTACATAGGGTCGCTATGACTCACAAGCACGTAACAACAAGAAGAATGTAGAAGCAAAGTAATACAAACAGAGCGAGTCTGTGGAAATGGTATCACAACCATGGACTTTCAGAACCAGGTTCCTTTCCAATTGGCCGGTTCTGCCCTTCAGATACAGAAGGCAGACTGGGTTCCAAAGCCTTGCACACAGTTACATAGATGTAGGAAAATTTATAGTGGAAATCAAGACTCTGGTCTAGACTGGAAATCTAGAATCACTGGACTGTGTGTCCTAGAATCAGAGTGCTGCATTCTCACAAGAGCAGATGGTGGGAAACACAAGCCCAACATGGAGATGACACTGTTCCATGCTGCTCCAAGGTTTTTAAAAACTGAAATTAGATGCTCCCAGGTGTTTACTTATTAAAGTGGCTTTTTGGCTTTCACGTAAACATTGCATGTGGCCCCCAGGACCCATATTCCCAGAAGGCTCACAGGACTGGAAGCAGTGACCCCTCAGGATGGGACAGACACTGCTCTTCAGTGCCGCAGTCTGTTGTCTCAGACCTCACTCTGCACTTTGTATTGCTAATTGCTGCCTTTGACAGACCTCTAAGTTTTGTGTATTAGTCCCTGCTCTAATAGGAATCCTCTGGAAATAGATGACACTTCCCTCTAGGAAAGTTCAAGTCCCACTTTGTTTGGTTAAATTTTATCAGAGTAGGAGTGATTTGGTGGTATAGTCTATAGCGAGTTATGCTGCTAACCCACACCCTCTGCTTTTCTGACAGTTCGAAACCACCAGCAGCTGATGCACAATTTACAGTCTCAAAAACCTGAGGGCAGGTCAGCTAGGACTGGGCCTGACTCGATGGTAATGGGTTTTAGGCTTGGGGGTTGTTTTTGTTGGATTTTTATTTCATCATTGGGTTTTTTCTGTTTTTACCAGAGAGTAGAATGATGCCATGGTTCTGATATAGGATTGTAGAAGGCAGCCGAAAAGACAAGGCACCTCAGCAGAGCTAAAAACCCCCGCCCATACAGGTAACAGCAGAAGACCACCAAGGCTGTGTGAAACTCGGTCGGGCCCAAGGGCCACAAGCCCTCAGGCCAAGAAGAAAGTATCTACACACCAGTTCCACAGGACACATCATCTCTGTTAAGGACACATTACCACTAAACTTAGGAGACTCTGGTCACAGCATAAGAAACTGTTAGCAGCTGATGAATCTGGAGTCACAGAAACCTTGGAAGCTTTAGATATAAGTTATCAGATCAAGGGTTAGACAATGGGAGATAGATGTTGAAGGGAGTGGGTAGAAGTGGAGGGGTATCTTGATGGATGGTAGAGCAAATAAATAAGTGGGTCAGGACACCTGTGCCAAGGGCAGGGACAACACCGAAACTAATGGTTAATTCCACAATAAGGGATATATTTTCACTTTTCTGCAAAATGCTTATCTGTTGGATACTTCTCTAAATCTGAACATTCACATTAAGACACACTGTAGGAATAAGGATTGGCCATCCACTTTCAAAATAGCAGGCCTCTGAAAACCCTATGTACAACAGAACACACGGAGAATGACAGAAAGTGCAAATGAGTATGGAAA